CATGTACCCAGACTCTTATCTGGGAATCTGGTTTGATTCGGAATTGTACGATGAGAATGAGTGAACTGATAGAGTGTTTGAGAAGTCAAGTTGGCAAACACGCGTTTTCGGTAATTCTTCGACTGGCCAATACAGTTACATGAAGGAATGAAAATGTACAAACTAACTAATACCTATAAACACTGTTAGTTGTTTACATTTTCATTCCTTCATGTAACTGTATTGGACTGACGAAGAATTACCGAAAACACGTGTTTGCCAACTTGACTTTTCAAGTGAAACATGGGAATATTTGCGGAACTTAGACAATCCAATGATAGAGTATATGTCCAGTTTTCGAAAAAGCTGACAAATAGACACGAAAGCATCTCTTTTTAAAAGAATTTAAATCACGTCATAACTATGCCGTCCGGTATGGAACAAGCGTAATCTGTTGTACACGAACTGGCGACCCAGCGTTGGCTTGAATAATCCGGCGTAAAACTCGATTCTGCATGCCAAGGAAATCGGCAGGTCTTCTTTCGCCGGAAGTCAAGACAGACATCGGGCTGTGGACCTCAGTTACTACGGATTTTAAAAACGCTAGTTCGGTGGGATGTGCTGTTTTTGGAGCTTCGTTATATTGTTGGTGAGACAGCGCAATATAAAGAAAACGCCAATTTTATCAGTCGTTGACCGATAACCTGCCAAAAAAACTTGGTATAAGTGGAAGCCCAAGAACATTGCAGATGTGAAGAAATATTGGGTAATTTGACACTAATATCTTATAGGTATTTTAGCAAATTTTGAATAATTCATATTGACCCAACTGTGGAAAACTCGGCGCCTCAGTGGGATTCGAGCCCTTGCAGGAAGGGGAAGGCTTTAGTACAGCCAACGCTCTAACCACCTGAGCTACGAGGCCCCGCCGGACGACGCGAGTTTTATCACACATGGGTCAAGTTACCCGCCCAACCTACTGCAACGTTTGGAATCCACCAAATCTGATACAGCAAGCTGACTGCCCAAGCAGGATTTCCTAAGTAGTTCACCTAGAATCCACAAGGTGACTACCAGGCTCACGCAATTCATAGGTATTTTGGCAGATGTGATTAAACTCGAGTCGTCCGGCGGGGCTTCGTAGCTCAAGTGGTTAGAGCATTGACTGTACTAGAGCCTTCTCCTCACTGCGTGGGTTCGAATCCCACCGAGGTGCCGAGTTTTTCACAGTTGGGTCAATATGAACTAATATCTTAATCGTCTTCATTTCAAGGTCAAACACCAGTAACACAACCACACGAACGAAAAACTGTTGCATAAATCAACGCTATTGAACAACATAGAGCAGAGAGTCAAATCATGTAGAATCCGACGCCCGGCGGTGAGCGAACCTTCCAAGAAAGATTCCAAGTACACTCTATCTCACGAGCCATGTACACAAAAGAGAAATTCGCATGCGCAACCGAACAAGACTGACATATAAATTCGACGGCCTACCTTATAGACCTAACTCATTTTATGTCGCCCCATGAACTGAAGATCCATTGAAAAGTCCGGCCCTTGCCCCTGATTAAAAGGACGAATGTGAGATACATGTAACGTACGAATCCTGAAATAAGGACAGATTTTAAAGCAGGCACGGACGGCAGACTTTATTGGTACCAGCACGAACTACTCGGTTATTGCGTTACCTGGAGGCAGCCTACAGTAGATGTGCTAAATCATGAAATGTCAGCCAAAATTCCGAAATGCGTTCTCGTTTCGAAAAGATAAATTAAGTAGTCTTGTAAAACTAATCAAGATGCAGTATAAATCTATACTGATCCAGTTACCTCAGGGTGTCGGCTTTCGAAAAAACTTATTTTCGGCTGCATGAAGGATCTATACTTTGCAAAAATGACTACTTATTTAGTATGCAATTTTCTCATTGATTTTCGATGCCCCTGAAAATTCAATTATATTTCATGGAAAACATGCATAAAAATATTCATTCTTTTACTTGATCGGTAGAAAATCACGTCTTCTTCCAATTTAACACTCAAAAAAGAGTATAATTCGGTTTTAAAAAACTGTTCTAACTCCCGAATAATTTTGAACCCGACCTGCTGCTACACTTGCATTCAGGGTTTCAAAACTACAAGCTGTTTATTTTCCGAGTACGGAAAACCATGCATTCCTCTACGGTTTTAAGAGGAGACCATATGAGGTTCATAAAATAAAGCAATGGATTTGGGCAATATTGTTAACTTTACAAGTCACATTCGTAAATGCAGATACATGACGTTTCATAGACGGCCATTTAACGGTATTAAAAAATCTCACAATTAGAAACGTTTTTAAAACCGAATTATACTCGCCTTTTGAGTATGAAATTGGAAGAAGACGTGATTTTCTACCGAATAAGTAAAAGAATGAATATTTTTAATGCATGTTTTCCATGAAATATAATTGCATTTTCAAGGGCATCGAAAATCAATAAGAAAATTGCATACTAAATAAGTAGTCATTTTTTGCAGAGTATAGATCTTGCATGCAGCCGAAAATAAGTTATTTCGAAAGCCGACACCCTGAGGTAACTGGATCATTATAGACTTATGCTGCATCATGATTAGTTTTACAAGACTACTTAATTTATCTTTTCGAAACGAGAACGCATTTCGAAATTTTGGTTGACATTTCATGAGTTAGCACATCTACTGTACATACAGCTGGAGAAACCCGACCTATGTAAACAGTTAGACCATGTGGTGAACCTCAGTTTGCCCTGGTAGACCTGGGCCCCTTTTGATTTTCGAAAACCCCTCGGCATGTTTACTTCCCCATTTTCTTTCCTATGTTGCGTTTTGAAGTTACCATTTTATTGATTAATCTACACGCAATATACGATGACCTTGGTGTTTTATATTGATTTTCTCTGTCAAAGTTCAAAACTCTGCACCTTTCTCACTTGTTACTTATGTTATGCAACGACAGGCTGCAGTTGAGAAGCCCTCGCGAAATTTACTGTTACCCAATAAATTTTGCTGTCCATGCCTGCTTTAAATTCATTCCGGGGAAATATTGCTTTAAATAAAGACAAAGGATTGAACGGACGTCAACAGAGATGAGTACTGAACGGTTTCCGCATTGAAGTGAATGCGGCAGAGAGTTAACTGGAGTGAAGCATTAGCAAATCCGAGTGAAGCCGAAGGTGGAACGTCTGTCGTGCAGCTAAACTCTACTAACAATAGTAATGACTAGAATATGAAAGAAACATCCAGAGTGCAACTTTTGCCTGCGTATGAGAACGAACATAACAAGCACCTTACTCCTCAAGCCTGACGAAGGAAACTGCGATAGAACTTCCGCTGCGGGTTTAAAGAAAGGGACGCAGTAGAAATACATTCGATTAGGTTATGTGGCAGCTTACCAAAAGTGATGAGAGCATACTTCATAGAAAACCTGAAATAAACAGGGCAATCATTAATGTGATTTAACTAATGAGGAAGGGCGTCTTGAGCAGCAGCGGTTGCGAGAAATACAGGACAATTGGATGGCTCGCAAGTAATTAACATCCAAGAATACGCCGACCGCAGCGAATCGATGAACGTATTTGCTACGGTCGAGACAATCTACAGCCCCTCTAACCAAGGAAACCAGGTAACTAATGGGAGATGGCACCCAAAACCTGAGTTACCTAGAAATAATACATACTCTATCTATTTGAGTAGGTTATAGCCATACATATTTGTTGTTTCATGCTTACATGGCTGGCGAGTGAGAGCAGTAGTTCTCATCTCACCTGCAGTCTTAATGTTGCTTCACTTGAGATGCGAACGCTGGAAAGCCAGCCACAGTTAACCAACCTTCAGCAAGGCTTACATGGCTGGCGAGTGACAGCCCTACATATTTGTTGTTTCATGCTTAACGGAACGAAGAGCGGGCCAACTTCGATCATTGACCTGTTCAAATATTGCTTTCCGTCGGCTAGTATCGTACATTCCGACCAGCCACCATTGCCGTTTCCTCTTGTCGACATTATATTTGCGTCGGCTTATTAAAGTTTCGTCGATTTGGACTTCGATTCCAGGTCCTCCTAATTTTGTTATTTGCTTCAGTAAGGCAGATGAGCAAACATTCCGACATTGGGCAAACCACTCAACAGCCGTCGATGGGTTTACACCAATGTCTTTCGCACATTCGCTGACACAAATTCCTTTCAGAAACCGAAGTAGAATCTTGAGGATCTTTGTTAGCGTTAACCTGCTATTTTTAAATAAATTTCCCGCTCTTATCGACATCCTCTTCCGGCATCGAGGGCAGCGAAAAGCTACACCATCCGAATACCGACTTCGTCCTTCCAATTTCATCCACTGGTGACATTTGCTCATCATCTGTGTAGGCAACAGCTTTCTCCGTTGACAATAATCAATCACATTTTCCGAATTAATCGTCGCCAATATTTGTTCAGTTTGGCTCATATGGCTCATATAATTTCGAGGTTTCCCTTTAATTCAAAAGTTGATTACTTATCCAAAATAGATTGCCATTAGCCTTTTATTTACTTATTCGCTTACTGCGGTATTTTCCTTCTCTCGATAGGGGATTCGCAGGTATTAGGCAGCATAGCGTTCGAGGCCAGTTCACACACGTTCACTAACTATCACTCTCGGCAGCCAACACACCAAGTCTACCACTTTACCATTCGCTGGGGGTGCCTTGGGCGTCTGATCACAGGCGCTCAATTGCTTCGCGGGTTCCTTGAAGTATTTTACGTCTACAGAACTGCTATTTGTTTACTTTTCATTTACCGCGCCTAATTCTGTTGCCACACAGTGATAAAGTAAAACTTTATTATCCCAAAAACAATTTCATAAAAAAATTTCCGATTACTCATACTTATCCACGCATTCGAAGGCCCCACCCGTAAAACCCCTAAGACAGGCTGCTTTGGTTGAGAGGAATATTTGGATGCCATCTCCCATTAGTTACCGGAAAACACGCCGGTTCTCAGCTTCCCTTGATTAATGCATTTCAAAGAGATGTCCCAGATTCGACAGCATTGGGTCGAGTACGTAAAATTCGTCCTCAATCGCCCCTCCACAATCTCCGACGTCGCAATCCACCGATCGCCCCTGTATAAACCAACACGGACCTGGATCTCCCACCGTCTCTCAATGAACCTATCCGGGTACTCCGACAACGCTCTAGCGGGAAAATGCCGGGTTAAGATGCGATCCCAGCGACAATCTGCAAGCCCGGCGACCCCCGACAGATTGACCAAACCTAATTGTGATAGTTCGACAGGAGCTACACTAACATCGATGGAAACTCGACGTGGCTGCATCGTGAATCGGTACCTTGACCGTATTTCCTGAGGAAAGCCCAGAACTAATGCATTATCAAATAAACCAACAAAAAGTGAGCAAGTTACTACAAATCACACAGGGAAATCTGGGCTTTTATTGTCTGCGTAGAGAACGAAAAGTAGGTAAACGATGTCACCTTTGAACTCTTTTTTATTACTCACACAGAGAAGGTGTGGTAAAATCAAACTACGTTTTATATATATGTGAATTATTTCATGCGTTAGGAGTATTGCAAAGGCATATACACACGTGTTCGTGTGTAATACACTGTATTTTAAGGACACCTATGGCTACTGGCCCAGTCCCCATTTAAAATCATTCACGGATGCAGACATAACAGCATCTTCAAACAAAGCATTTCAAGCTCCGGTCAACCTGATAGAGAAAAAACTGTCACGTGCCCAGCCTAACTGATGCCGGTAGATTCATAACGACATCATATCACTTGCTTATAGATCAACATATAGACTGCTTCAGTAGGAATTAAGATCATCAACAAGCAAGCTGGTGGCTGCTCAGTAGTTCAGCACGAATATTACTAGTTGTTCAAATCTGACTTAATTTTGAAACCTACCAGCCTCGGTTTAATTAGTTGGCTTTAGTTTATCTAAAGAAAATCAAGGTGAGCGTCGTTGAACGTATTATTTGTGACACGCAGCGGAAGTATGTAACAAAATTCAAAAGAGGGGCAAAACCAAACTGCAGAGGAGATATAGACCCGTAGTGATAGATGAAGCATTTCACGCGTTAGCAGAATTGGAGGGCATATGTGCACTCGCGGGTGCGTAATAAAGTAGTTATGTGAAGAAATGTCAGCCGCCTACAAGCATCATGGTAAATGTTACTATGTTACACGAGGCCTGGAAGGCACGAAAAGGAGCTCCGGGAGGTAGCCCTGCCACTAACAGCATGTCTTCGAGGCACGGAATGACATTGTCAAACATCTTTGCGTTCACCGTAATGTCGGCAGTGCAAATACGCCCCCACTTCCCTGAGGCTCCGAAGCACTTGAAGAAGGATACACGATCGCCGGGACAAGAGCTTTATTAGCCTCACGTTTCGGATTCCTACTCGAATCCATCATCAGAGACAAAAGAGCAGAAACGGGTGGTTGTTGCACAAGGGGCTGCGGTATTTATAGGATGCAGCAGCCATGCTACCGCCTGCCTATGAACGTTCACGGCTTCCCCCTTCATCCGGGATTGCCACACTTGGGGTGATCATTGCTTGATGGCCGACATTCGCGTCGTTAATTGCTGCAATTTCATCACGTGCGTTGGATGTTGGTGTGATGATTGCTCGACCATCTGACGCGCTGACCCGGGTGTTGGGAAGAGTGTTCATCAGGGCGCTCCCCGCGTGGCCAATTTCTCCGCCTAGACGAAGTCTCAGCACGCTGTATAGAATGGGAAGATCATTGCACTCGTTAATAGACTGGGGGCCAGTGAACCATGACTCAAGCAGCTCCCGGCTCACGCGGTTCCTGGAGAAACTCAAAGGGGTAAGCCTCCATCCAAATGAGGTCATGGTATCTTTTGATGTTACATCCCTTTTTACTTCTATTCCCCAGGACCTGGCGATCGAGACAATCAAGCTGCCTCTGCAAAGCAAATACGATGAAACGGAGAATCGTCTTGGACGCGCCAAAGTCCTTCAGCTCCTGAAGTTCTGTCTCAGGACGTACTTCACGTTCGACGGGACAATTTATGAACAGGTGAAGGGCACACCAATGGGTTCGCCGATTTCGGGATTCATCGACGAGGCGGTCCTGCAAAGGTTAGAGTCGCTGGTCTTCCAACACCACAAACCGACGTTCTGGGCCCGGTATGTGGATGATACCTTCGTCGTTATCGATCGGGATCAACTGCTGACATTTAAGGAACGTCTGAATGCGGTCTTCCTGGACATACAATTTACGATGGAGGAGGAAGAGAACAACCGGCTGGCCTTCCTGGATGTCCTCGTATGCCGCAAGGATTGTGGTGGACTAAAGACCAAAGTGTTCAGGAAAGCGGCAAATACGATGCAAGTACTGAACTTCAACAGCAACCACCCAATTAGTCACAAACGCAGTTGTGTAAGGACGCTCTATCGGCGTGTCGAAACGCACTGCAGTGAGCCGGAAGACAAGATTGCTGAACTACAATACCTCCGACGGGTCTTCAAAGCCAATGGCTACCCGCGCAACTTCGTCGACCGGTGCATACGCAAAAGGGACGAAAGGCCTAACTGCAGGGACACCAAAGTTTGACGAGCGCTTCCATATGTCAAGAACGTTTCGGAAGCTGTGGGCCGCCTTCTCGCACCGCTGGGGGTTGGAGTGGCACACAGGCCAGAGGCAATCATCAGGCGTCAATTGATGAAACCAAAAGACCCACTGCCACGGCAAGAAACGTCTGGAGTCGTTTATCGGATCTGGTGCAGTTGCGGACAAAGCAACTACGTCGGAGAAACCGGAAGACAGCTCCGAACGCGAATGGCCGAACACGCTGCAGCAGTGCAGGAAGAAATGACGCCAGCTCTCAAGTTGCGGCTCATTCGACGGGTTCCGGCCACACATTCAAATTTGACGAGGCCGAAATTCTCGCAAGAGGTGACAACCGCGTGAGCCGGGAGCTGCTTGAGTCATGGTTCACTGGCCCCCAGTCTATTAACGAGTGCAATGATCTTCCCATTCTATACAGCGTGCTGAGACTTCGTCTAGGCGGAGAAATTGGCCACGCGGGGAGCGCCCTGATGAACACTCTTCCCAACACCCGGGTCAGCGCGTCAGATGGTCGAGCAATCATCACACCAACATCCAACGCACGTGATGAAATTGCAGCAATTAACGACGCGAATATCGACCATCACGCCACGTGCAACGATCCCTGATGAAGGGGAGGGAGCCGTGAACATTCATAGGTATGCGGTGGCATGGCTACTGCATCCTATAAATACTGCAGCTACATGTGCATAAACCACCCTTATCTACTTATGCCTCTGATGATGGATTCGAGCAGGAATCCGGAACGTCAGGCTAATAAAGCTCTTGTCCCGCCGATCGTGTCCTCTTCTTCAATGCATAAAAATATTCATTCTTTTACATATTTGGTAGAAAATCACGTTTTCTTCCAATTTCAAACTCAAAAGAACAGTATAATTGGGTTTTAATAAAGTTTCTAATTGTGAGATTTTTTAGTACCGTTAAATGGCCGTTCATGAAACGTCATGTAGCTGCATTTACGAATGTGGCTTGTAAAGTTAACAATATTGCAGGCATTTCTCTACGGTGTTAAGAGGAGACCATATGAGATTCATAAAATTAAGCAGAGGATTTGAGCAATATTGATAATTTTCAAGCCACATTCCTAAATGCAGATACATGAGGTTTCATGAACGGCCATTTAACGGTATTAAAAAATATCACAATTAGAAAAGTTTTTTAAAGCCTAATTATACTCTTCTTTTGAGTGTGAATTTGGAAGATGACGTGGTTTTCTACCGACTAATTAAAATAATAAATATTTTTATGCATGTTTCCCATGAAATATAATTGAATTTTCAAGGGCATCGAAAATGAATGAGAAAATTGCATACTACTTAAGTAGTCATTTTTGCAGAGTATAGATCTTGCATGCAGCCGAAAATAAATCCTTTCGAAAGCCGACACCCTGAGGTAATTGGATCATTATAGGTTTATGCTGCATCATGTTTAGCTTTACAACACTACTTAATTTATCTTTTCGAAACGAGATCGCATTTCGAAATTTTGGCGGACATTTCATGAGTTAGTACATCTACACTTCAAGCTCCAGTCAACCTGTTAGGGAGAAAAACTGTCACGTGCCCAGCCTCACTAATGCCGGTAGATTCATTACGACATCATATCACTTGCTTATAGATCAACATATAGACTGCTTCAGTAGGAATTAAGATCATCAACAAGCAAGCTGGTGGCTGCTCAGTATTTCAACATGAGCAGTACTAGTTTTTCAAATCTGACTTAATTTTGAGACATACCAGCCTCGGTTTAATTAGTTCGCTTTTGTTTATCTAAAGAAAATCAAGGTGAGCGTCGTTGAACGTATTATTTGTTACACGCAGCGGAAGTATGCAAAAAATGTTTGGAAGCGGTGCAAAACCAAACTGCAGAGGAGATATAGATCTGTAGTGGTAGATGAAGCATTTCACGCGTTAGCAGAATTGGAGGGCATATGTGCACTCGCGGGTGCGTAATAACGTAGTTATGTGAAGAAGTGTCAGCCGCCTACAAGCATCATGGTAAATGTCACTATGGAGGAGGGCAGGGGTCAATGCACCAAAAAATTACTTGAAACAACTACTAGCTTAAGATTATCAGTAGTATACCAAGAGTAAAATTATGTAGATATGTCATCGGTACTACAGTGACCGAACCGTCTTTTAAAAGCTCTTTTTACGAAGGCGGGCACCCAAACTCGTAAGTGGACAGGGTTCACTAACCTATGAAACACGATTGTCCAATCTCGGCCTTTTTCCACTGAGTTACAGACATCTAAGAGGCGACCTTATACAGACATTCCGTCGTATACTGGGTGGCCACGACTGCTGTCTCGTACCTGCTGATTTCTTTGAGTTAGCGACCACAACGAATCTCCGAGGTCATCCACTGGCGCCAAGCTGGACATTCGGAAGTTCTTCTTTTCAAACAGAGTGATAGAGGCCTGGAATGCTCTGCCAACAGATGTCGTCATGTCAACCTCCGTCGAGGCTTTAAGCGCAAGTTGGACCAGTGTACCACCAAACGGCATAATGCCACCTGACCGACAACGTCTAGCATTTCGTTCATACAGTTCATTAATGTTGTTATATTACTGCCTGCATTTCAGTAACGTTTGTTTTTTATTGTCCCATGTCTGTTGAATGTGTGTTGGCGTTTAATTCGTCTCCTTCAGGAACTGAGATAGCACGAACTATCCATAGACAGACTACTGTACAGCACATTTAGTAACGTTAATGTTTTAACTCTTGGAACAATTCATTTATCTGTCAGGCTTCAAAAACTTTGCCAATCTGAAAAAAACGGTAGATGTTTGATGTCTCCATTTTCAAATTTTTTATATAGTTCGCTTCCTTGTAACAAATAGGGAGTTCAAAGGTTCAACACCTATATTTCCCTCAAATAAACTGAACTGAACTAAACATCGTCCTCAAGTAAGGCATTCCAAGCTTCAGTCACCTTGTTGTAGAAGAGGAACTTTCATGTGCCAAGCCTGCCACCAGTCACACGTACTTTGAATGCACGACCTCGGAGGCTTGTCGTAATTTCAAACTCGAAGAATTATCCCGATACAGGGAACAGTTCTGACCGACAATGATGCGGTGAGACAGTTCGGCTTTTTCTCGTGGTCGCATTTAACTGAGCCCTGCTCGGTTACAATTTTGGTGTCCACAGTTGATTGTTGTTCAGTATTCCGATGCTACAAGGGTCTTCACGCTTGGATGTCTGATGAATCTGAAAGGCTAGTCGGCTAAGGTTTAAATATGCCAAAGGGGTTTCAAATGGCATTTTCAATCAATACTGCCAAACAAAGTAATTTAAAAGGCAAATCGTCCAATCCGACTAACAGGAGATATCAATGTTAGTGCCAGTCTTAGGCGAGGTACGTCAGAGCTCTGAGTTCAGGCTATTGGTGTTTATCATTTAGGTCAGTGATTGAATACACCGAACTGAGTGGAAAAACAGTCATGTTTGCAGATGCAATTACTGTATGGTAGGCGATTACGGATTAACAAGTATGTCTTGATCGTCCATAAGAAGTGCATTATCGATTAGCGCCGGAGGTTTAACTTGAGTAATGTGTTACACCGGGGCTCAAAATGGATATGTGAAGAGTATATGGAGGCGAACAGCAAACATGAATTTCAGGTAAACTGGACAGTAAAGCTGTATTGCCGTAAACCAACGATTTGCACATATCTACAAATAATTTGGATAACTGCTCTTGCATATTTATCCTTATTCTTGCTGCAGCCACACACTTACAAAATAATATTTTAGCCAATGTAAGTGTTACTGAAAATGCCTTAGTAACGCGGTTTATTTGACAAAACTAATATGCATACCATGTTCAACTGTGTTTCTCTCAAATAACGATTTGCGCTACTACTAGTGTGAATGATTATTTTCTCATATTTCACGTTACCTTCCAATATATATAATGCACGCTTTAGTTATTTGGGTACAATGCTAGCATGCTGAACAAACTATGAATTCAACAGAGCCGAGCAGCATCAGCAGCTATCATGTAGTGCTTCTGAAATAACACTATGGCGGGCATTTGAATGGCAGCCGCTAAATGCATTCTAAATACCTGTTACGACACACATATGATCATGTCGTTTTCACTGATGTGCACGGGCACACATGCCAAAATGAATGAATCATCAGATGGATGGAAAATAAATAGTCCCAGGGCCATAAAGGATTTTTATGAAGAAGAAGAAGAAGAAGAAGAAGAAGAAGAAGAAGAAGAAGAAGAAGAAGAAGAAGAAGAAGAAGAAAGAGAGTGGAATTCTCTTCACTTTGCGACTTAAATTAGTCAGGCGCCAAAGCGCTTACACCGAAAGGAATAACACTTACGGGGATAGTTGCAGTCTTAGTTGCATTGTTTCTGTCTTTTCACACTTAAGATAGCGTGACAGGAAAGTCGACGCAGAATGCTGCTATGCCGAAAGCCACGGCACGTAGGGCTGGAGGACATAGGATTGATTAGCTCTGAATGTAGGAGATGGGCAGCGTTATCCAGAATTCGATCATCAATTTCCTTGACCCTTCGGTAGTGTATTTGCATGGTAATATCGACAAAAGGACACAAAAGAAACCCCGGCAACAGAATGAAACCTTTGTAGGAGGCATTTAAAAATAAACATTTCATGAGAAACGCAAGAGAAATCACAGGACAGCAGTGGAGGTGTGAGGGAGAATGCAGGAATATATGAATCGCCAGACCTAGTGCAGAGACATGTGCTTCCAAAGTAAACGACAAATGTCGTAGTAGCGGTTTACGGACTTTACTGAGAAGCGTCTCGAGTTGCTGACATAGTAACACCAAGGTGCCTGATGAAGTATGCATCATTTTCCAAGGACTCTGAACTATAAAATGATTGCATTTGAATAATACATTGGGCTGACGTATGACTATACAGTACGTGCCTATTTTCCTGCAACCGCATTGAAACATGGACAAGGCTATCCTTAATCCTATCCTAAGATGTGTCTGATTTCTG